TGCATAGGCAGTCGGGGGATGGGGGACCAGAAAGTAGATGGCTCTTAAGGAAACCCCTGATTTATTAATAGTGAGTTTCTGGTGTGATAATTTTCCATTATATACGCAATAGGAAGTTTTCTCCCATAATGCATTGCAGATTTGTGTAGAAGCATGCCCAATAGTTTTAAATTTGAATTTAACACAAACTGCCTTAAAATACTGAGATATTTTATAATTAGAATAAAATGGAAAAAAGATATGTGTATTCTGAAAGAAAACTATTTAATCTGTTATGATGTTTGATATCTTCCCTAAATCCAAAGTAATGATCTTTTGTGAGCACTTATTTTCTGATCGCGTTTAGTTCACCTTTGAGCTGTTTGTTATTTGATATAATCTGTGTGACTTGAAAATCTCCGATAGCTCTGCTGAGTTATCCCATAATATCATCCTCTGGTTCCATTGTCGTATTTCACTATCTGAGGAGGACAGCTTTTTTCCCATCTTCCAATTTTTAATCAGGGGAACATTTAACTCCTAGTAGCAACTGTAATGTAACCATCAATCTTGTATCCATGGTGATACTGTCATTATAATTACAAAGATTACAACAAGATGCCAAGCATAAGTGGTGATTTCTCATTTGAATATTGCCATGGTGATTGCTGTGCATAATTTATCAGATAATTACTGGTGCTGATAACTTATTCAAAGAAGCTGGAGAGGATGACACTCAGTTTGTTGCCATGGAGACCAGCCATTACCTGCTGTTATTGAGATAATACCAGAGTGTGTTTTCACTGAACAGTGACCTTTCGAAAAGTCATTAGGAGTACAGGATGCCACCAAAACAATGACCTCTTGAAACAAAGAAATTTAGGGAATGACATCTCAACTTAAAACTCAACAATATCATTAACAATATCATAATTCAATATGATTTTAGGAGTTCTGAGTTGAACTTTTTTATTTCAACAATTATAGATATTGGGAAAATATACATTTTTTTTAAAAATATTTTTTTGGGGACAGAAGTGAAAACGGCAATTCTAAGTTTAAAATGTTTCCCAAAATTACTTCAATACTCAGGTTGAATATTTTTGAATAGATTTAGTTTCACAAGAGTCTAAATTTTGTGAATTTATCAACCTTTGTAAGTTTTTAAACTGACCTTTTCACTGAAGTACTTATAACAGATGCAATTTTGTCTTCATGGTTTGAGAATCTCACAAGTCGCAAAAATTAAATTGTATGTGAAATGATGGTGGTTTGTAAATCTTATACATGGCAAATAAACCCCCAATTTCTCATTGGAAGAAAATTTAATTTAAACTCAAAAATTTTTGTGGTAAAATAGTGTAACTTTATTTGGACAATATTTGACAGTGCAAAATGTTGCTGCAATTCTAGTAGTAA